TGCAGGGGGGTCTGGGGCTGTGCAGCGCCTCGGCAAGGCCCTGGCTGGGCTGCATTTGTTCTCCATAGGAGACTAACTGGTTTTTAATGATGGCAGTGATGGCACAAACAGGACCTTTGTGTGGAAGAATGCAGCCCCTCTCCCCAGAGCCAAGCGGGCTGGACGGGCATCCCCTTCCCATCCCTGTCCTGCCGCAGCAGCCCGTGCTGCCCCACAGCCACTGCCGGGAGTGAGGAGCATGGGGGGGGTCAGTGTCACGCCAGTGTCCCCATCCCATGTCCCTATCAAACGTGCAGGGTGGGGTGCCCAGGGACCCTTGACGCAGCAGGGGCAGCCCAGGCAGCCTGTCCCCCAGATGCTGTCGTCCCCCGCTGCAATGCCCACGCCGAGCCCGGCAAGCCAACACCACGGTGCAAATTGGGTTTCCAGCGGAGAACCGGCGGCCCCAGGGGCTGACGCTTCCTTCTGCAGTGCTGCCGGGCCCTGGGCTGTGGCAAGAACCCGGCAGCAGGAGGAACTAAAGTGAAATCAAGCTTTTTTTAAAAAAAAAAAGAATAGCTAATCGGCTTCCTGGGGATTTAAAATGTGTTTGCTGCTAATTCCTGAATGCTTGATATTAACAAAATATCACAAGAACCCTATGGACTCTGGATAATGGGATAAAAGCCAATTCTTCTGCTCTTATTCCCTAATCACAGAGAAACCAGGTTGGTGAATGTGGACATGTTGACACAGCGCACTTGTACTCTTTACGTTTGCCCTTTGTTTTAATGCCATGTGACTGAACAGAAAAAATTAGCATTATACAATACCAGCCAGTGCATCAGAAAAAAAGAGCAGGACTGGAACAACCTGGTAGATCTTACAGGGAATAGGGAAACCCCCGTGAATGGGGCTCACAGGTACCAGCTCTGCGAGAGGTTTGGCACAGAGGGGAAGGTGCAGGAGCGAAGGCAGCACCATCCATCTGTCCGTCTGCCAGCAGGGACCGAGCGGTGCTCCTCAGCCCCGCAGGCACCCGGCCGAAGCACTTCCAGGCCAATGTGACAGGAGAGAAGCCAAAGGCTACTTGCCCAGTTGGTGTCTATAATTTATCCAAGCCCTCTATTCAGCAGCAGCAAGTCCTGCAGGATAACCAGGGCTGTCTGCAGAGGGGACATCTCTGCCCCAGCATGCCTACCTACCTCTGCTCCTCTCCTCTCCGACTCCTGCTCCACATTTTGTAAACGGGAGCAGCTGGGTCCACGCAACCTCCAGCCCGTGCCAGACAGCTGCATCCCTCCTTGCACCCCGTGTCCTCCTGGGGTGCTTGGGCAGATGGAGGGGCCATGGAGCTGCACAGCAGAGCCCCAAGCAGCTGCAAATTGCCCATGACGTTTATTTTACAAGCTGCAAAACATTTTGTAGAGGGTTCATTTATACAAACGCTGTTCAAAATAGCTTTTATTCGAAAAATAGCCTTCTCTCATTTACATATACTACAGACAGTCTGGCGGGGGTCTTGCAGGAGCCCCACCTGCAGCTCCCCAGCCCCGCTACCCCCTGCACTTGCACTGCCGGATGGCAATGACGGTGCGGACGTGGTCTTGGCGGCTCCTGAACGTGTGGACGTCGTATCGGTGAGGGGCGCAGCGGCTGGAGGCACCTTCTGCCCAAACCAGACATTTCTCTCTGCCTTGCGAATCTCTGCAGTTAGAGACAAACTCCAGTACATCCCCTGGCCTCCCACACCCCGGGGCCCTGCATTTCATCACCTCAAAATAGGGGAGATGCCCCAGACCAGGGTCGGGGAGAGGGGAGGTAGCTTTCTTCCAGCGGCATCTATTCCTTACTCCTGGTGTAACTTGGTGAACTGTCTTCTCCCCCTCTGCCTGTGCAAAGCAGGGGTTCTTTCTTTCTTTGTGGTTTGACTCGCTGCCCTTTGCATTCACCAGGTTTTTGTGTCTGCAAGCAATACAAAGTGCTGCCCCCCTGGCCTGAAAAAGCTGTCTGGACCCACCCTGCCCCAGAGCATCCCCCTCCTCCTCCTCCTCCTCCTCCTCCACAGCATTGCCAGCAGGAGGGGGGCAGGAATGGCACATCCCAGGCTGGAGAAAGCCACGGTCAGGACCCATCTCTGTCTGCTACCGTGGGGGAACCACAAGCTCTAAAACCAGCCGCCCAACGGGCTGAATTCAGCATCGTCGTTGTCAGGTTCCTCTTTATCCCTTGACGCAACGGAGCAGTTTGCTGCTGTAGCACCATGGCAAACGCAGCTCTGCTTCAGCTTTGGCCCAACACGGTTAGACACAGCCCAGAGGATGAGCTGTGGGTGCTATCCAAAATTCGCTACCCAAAACCCCTTCCAGGTCCTGCCCCAGGAACAGCAGATGCATTACTTGAGAGGAATGGCAACAGCTCAGACCTGCCTCTGAATGTATGCGGATGTGCCCAGCAAGGAGAACGGCCGGATCCTGGCAGCTGTGCTTACCTAAGCAAGCAGTGATCCCCCGAGGAGCAGCTGCCCAAGCACCTTCCCACATCAATTTCCTGCAAAGATTTGCAAAACAAAGGCATGAAAATCCCCTGCAGCACCTCACTGGGGACACCCCAGGGGACCTGCCGCCCATCAATGCCTGCCCTCCATCCATCCTCAGGCTGAATGTACCCTCCTGAGAAAGGGCAGCAGCAAGGCAAAGCTTGTAAGAAGTATTTTTGGGGGTACACCAGTGGTTTTTGAGTCAGAGGTCCCCGTGCACAAAAGCGTGTTGAAGTAGAGAGTAGAGTCTCCATTGAACTGAGCTTAAGACATACTTAACGATTAAATACTTAAAAAAAACAAAACTCACTGCTCCCTTAATTGGGGTGAGAAATCCTCATCCCAAAGAAAAGGCCATTTGTTACTCTACGGCAATGATTTATACAGAAATTAGTGGTAGTAAAATACATTTTATAGCATAAGATAATATAAATGTGAGATTTTTACCACTCTGGTTTGTTGCCAGGTTGTGCTTAGCTCTACCAGGGTGCAGCTGCCCATGTCAGAGCATCCACCCAGCTGTTCAAACCCCATGTGTGGGCCCAGCAGCACAACTGAGCTGAGCAGAGAGGAGGAGGCCAAGCCTCAGGAAACCAACCTTGAGCCGTTTCTCCTTGTGTCCCGCAGAGCTGTGCACAATTTCATAATAATATTCCACTTGGGAAACGCGATAGCATTTTTCCTTCATTTCACAGTTCTCCAGCGTCTGAACCAGCTCCCCACCTTGTGGGTTTTTGACTAGAGCAGTGTTGAACTTTGTGGGCATGCAGAAAAGTCCATCTGCAAGGAAACAAAAAGGAAATTTAATCTGGGGCTGCACCTGAGGCCACTACGGCTGCAGCATCTTCACTGGGGGTCTGCCGTACCGCACAGACGCACTGTCAGGCTCCCGCATCCAGCACCCAGCGTGGAAAGTGCTGCTTTCTGTGTGAGGGTCCCCAGCTGAGAGTTTGGGGCTCATCCCTTCACCAGCTCAGGGCCCTAGCAACAGGTTTTGTTCCTCCACCTCAGTTTCAGACCACAGGGCAAAGAGAGGTTATTCTGGGTGCAAATTGTGAATCCTGCACCTGACCCTGTGCAAGCCCCATCTCTGGGGAGACAGCCTGAGCTATTACACATTATCTTTGAGAAAAAAGGTCTTTGAACATTAAATATTCATGGAAGTGCTTCTTCCAGAGACATGCTCTCATACCAGAGAGCTGGGGAATGTTATTTAACATTTACTCATTCAGCGTTTCTCTCTGGATTTGCCAGGGGGATGTGCCCTGCATGGGCTTCTTGGATGCTCGAGCCAGTGTCACCGGCTGGCCTCTGGAGCCAGTGTCACCGGCTGTCCTGGACATATACTTCCTCAGGCACCTCCAAAGGATTTCCTTTGGGCTGGGGTCTCAGCTCTCCATGCAAGCAGACGAGCCGGCCAGGGCTGGGGTGATGGAGGCAGCATCTCCCCACGTCAGCACGAGTTATTACCCTACCAGCATCGCGGGACAGAGGAAGGCTGGTACAAGAGTGGAGGAAAGGGAAGGCAGGGGATGGCCCCTGTTCTGGGAGCGCAGGACCGAGTCCTGCTTTGCCTCTTCTTTCCCTATTCAAACTTGAATTCAATGAAAAACTCCCAGGGCAAAAAAAAAGTTATGTTCGGATTTGAAATACCTAGTCTGCTTGCTAAGGAAGGCAGGCAGAGAGCAGGGCTTTGGGTGGACATGCCAAAACCCTGCATCTTTGCTGCCTTGTCACCTCCAGGCCAGGACACGCTGCCTCAGCGGCAGGTCCCAGCTGGCCCGGGCAGGGGCTCAGCAGCTGGAGAGGAGAGACAGAGGCTCCTCCAGCAGTAACTCACGTCCAGTTGGAAGGAAACAGGCACAGACTGTCCTCCCTGGCTCAGTTTGAACGTATGCTCTGCGTAGAAAGAAACAGTTTATCTGCTACATCTCCCACTTTTTGTCTCCCTCACCAAGTACATTAGGATTAAAATCTCCATTGCATGAGCTAGAGGAGGGGAAGAAGGATGGCTAAGTTCATGGCTAAGTCAGTCTTGGGTTTTGGCTCTAAATCTGACCTAGTCTTGCCCTGTGCCAGTCCTTGGGTGCGGGTCCTTCAGGGTTTGTGTTTGGTTCCTGGCTTTAAGATGGTTGTGAGAGTTTCCTGCCACCTCCCAGCTACTTTATCAGCAGCTGGAGATTTCTTTGTTCCGAGGTGGGGCCCTGTTTTCAGTGGAGGGAAAAGCATTTTCTGAAAGCAGATCTCTCTGGGATGCCATCAGATGGAGACACAAAATGACAATTGATTTCTGGAAGCCAGTATTTCTAGGTAAGATCTGAACATCCTTCTCCAGCCACTGCCAACCCCCCCTCAGCTCCTCTGACGTTACCAGTCTTTAACATGACACTGAAAGTGTCAGCCTGACTTTACAGGGGAAAATCCAGAAGGAAAGTGCCGAGACCTGCCCTAGGGCAGAGGCAAAACTGGGGGCGAGCCCACATTTTTCAGCCCTGGGCCATTATCACTGAATGAGCCACCGTCCATTAGCCACCCCGGGGGACAACAGCATCGTCCAGCACCTCCCAGTCACACGTCTGGGAAGTAAATGCTGATTCTCCCACCTCTGGAAAAAAGCACTTCACACTGCCTAATTTTCTTTTCCACTTGCCATGTCTTGCAGGCGGATTACACAAGCTGCAGGGGCATTGATGCCTGTGTGCGGAGCCTCCTTCCAGCTCTCAGAGGATGGGGGACACATCCACAAGCAGAGCCCCTTGGGGTTTTGTTTTCTCCCCCACCCAGTTGGCTTCCCCAGCCCCTCTAGCTCAGGCCCCTCCGCTGCTTTCCAAGCTCTGGTTAGGGCTCGCATTGGTCTCTGTCCCTCTCTAGCGGCTGTTGTGCAGCCGTGGCACAGGAGCTGCCGGGAAGGTTTTAACGAGATGGTTCTAGATAGAGAAATGCCAATAAAATGACATCAAGAAATTCCAGGAGAACCGATTTTATCAAGCAGTTGTGGAAAATCATTTCAACACGAATTTCCATTCCGATAAAAACAGATCAGTTCATCTTCACTGATGTGACTCTCAGGTTATTTTATGTGTGAACTCACAAGACAACTCACCAGTTCAGCTTTATCCCAGTGGAAGGGATCGTTCCCATCTGGAACAATTTAGTTTGGAGTTTCCACTTCTGAGTGATTTTTGAAACATCAGCATAGTTCACCGGTGCTGCGATGAAAGGGCATTTCAGACCATCAGAAAGGAAACTCCATTTTTTAGTGGTTGCTAAGGGGCCTGTTTTCAGTGGAGCTTTTATCATCAGGTTGTTTTTCCTTGCTTTCAGGTTGGAGCAGAGACCCCCGAGGTCCCTCCCAGCCTGGGTTACTTTGATTCTATGACCTCTGGTTAGAGGACACTTCCCTGTTAACACAAGGTGGTTTTATTTCCATCCTCACAGCATGCACAGGGGCAGAGAATTACCATTTCACCTGCAGACCTGTGCTGTAAGGGCCCAGCATTAGAAAGGAAAAGAAAACCCAAACCCTGACATATGAAATACAATCCCATTCCCACCTAAGGCAAAGAGGGTTTGCATAGCAGACTGGAGCACTGTTAGATCACGCTCCGAGCTCTGACATCGGTGTTGGTCACGCAGAAGAGCTCACCCCTGTATTCCTGGACAGAGGGGAGCTCTCCATCCTTTCCATACCTGCACTATAGGTTTGGTCAGAGCATTTCCCCACGTCAATCGTGACCTCCCAGGGAGAGTCCGGAAAGA